AGATTTTAAGGGGAACCCACCAGACTCCTAGTCCTGAAGGAAAGTGACTAAGAGTTCAGCTGCTGAGAGTCAGACTGGAACATTCCAGCTTCACTCATGATGCCCCTGCCAGCAGACAGAGAGAAGAGCCATATATATGAAGCCAGCCAGCCAGATTCAGTATTAGCTCATTATTGCCCAGATGCAAACACTCTCAGAACTCTAAAGGTCTTCCCTGGTGGCTCAGATGGTAATGAATCTGCCTGCAATGCAGGAGACCCAGGTTCCATCCCTGGGTCAGGATGATCCCCTGGAGAAGGGAATGGCACCCCACTCCAGTATTCTTGTCTGGAGAATTCCATGGACAGAGGAGCCTGATGGGCTACAGTCCATGGGGGTCACAGTCAGATACAACTGAGCAATTAACACACACATTGAGCCTCCCATTTTAGAGGTCAGGAAACTGAGGACCAGGGCAGCTAAGGACCTGGTCTGGTTCTTGGAGTGTGCCGAGCCGGGGACCAGCTCTGCCAATACACTTGCACATCACATCCATGTGGAAAGGCCATTACTGAAATAAGGATGCTGGGCCACCTTAGAAAGCCATTCCCTCCCTGGAAATGGGCTGGGCTGGATCAGTGTTTTCAAGGTCCTGGGAAGCATACTGCTAGCGATGCAGGTTACTCGGCCCCTGATTCAGACACGCTCCCGGTAAACTAAACGATCGCTCATTTTTTTCCAGGACTAACGTAAGAGCTCCGTCCACTCCCCTCCCCACTGCTCGCAGGAAAAGTCTCCCCTGGGGACAGTGGCTCCTGCCCAGGCCGAGCTGCTCCCACAGCTTGGCCCAGCCTTCTGGCCCCGGAGACAGAAGGCTGGCTGCTGATGCCCTGGTGTAACTGTCTGGGCTGCACTTTTTGAGGCAGCCCCTACAGGCCTCAGGCTGGGAACATTCCGTGTGAAAATCCTCCAAAGAGCCTGCAAACAAACCCCACCCAGTTAGCCCTCCAGGCCCCTCTGCCCCTCACTGCCTGGTACCTTTGGGAAAGCTCTTTGATTTCTCTGAGTCCCCAGCTCTTCTGGGATCCAAGTGAGGAAATTGATCCAGGTGTGTTGAATTAAGCTCATGCAAACCCAGATTCCTGGTCAATAGGAACTCATGTCTGGCCCTAGGTTCAACTCTGCACAGAGAAGTTAAGTAACTTGCCTAAAGGTCATCCAGCAAGTCAGTGGAAGATCTGCAGCTGGAAGGGGTTCCCACACCCCTAATAGGGGCTCCCATCCTGCTCTACACCTTGCTTGTGAATAATGACCTTCCAGGGCCATTGAAATGGTATATTCGCCTACCCCGAGTAGGCGCTCAATGAGACAAAGTTACAGTCACCTTCTCAGTGCTTCTCACACAGTTGGGCCAATTGCTGCTGAGGTGTGATTTATTTTAGATGCCCTAATGAAAAGCTCAGAAGAAGCAGTGCATATTTAAAGGAGGCCCTTGACATTTGAAGATTTACCACTTGCATTGTCCACTATTTGAGGGTGACCTTCGGGGTTGATACTATTAAATATATATAATAGTAATTTTTTTTTTAAATCAACCTTATAAGGTTGCAGTGAGGATTGAATGAGAGGATGTATTTAAAGCCCCACTGGTGACTCTCCACCAGGCCCTGAATCTCCAGGATGGAGTCTCTCAGCCAATGAGTGAGCCTGGCCGAGCACCGAGCATCAGCATCTCATCAGAACCTGAGCGAATGTGTGGGATCCCAAGTCACAGTCCCCAGCACTGTACAGCATCCCTCCAGGGGTACAGACAGCGCTTTGCACCCTGCCCTTCCATGTTCACACAGCCCACAGCGCAGGACTGAGGACAGAGGCCTGGGCCACCGTGTGCCCCCAGCCAAGTGAAGGATTAACCTAGGCAGGTGGTTCTCAGACCAGCAGCAGCAGCAGTGACATCTGAAAGCTTGTTCAAAATGCAAATTCTCTGCTCTCTCCCCACAGACCTCCTGACTCAGGCAGTCTGGGAGTGGGGCCCAGCCCTCCGTGTTTCATCAAACCCTGATAATGGTCATTACGTTTGAGACCCACTAGCCTAGAGGCTAAGTCCCCTTCCTGCTCCAAAATCCAGTCACCTGGATGAAATGTGGATTACGGAGACCAGAAGAAAGCAGGATGCTGGTGGGGGGAGGGTGCTTGAAATGTCACAGGAGGGTACTCACTGTGCAGTCGTGGGCAGCTGGTGGGTTGTGGGCAGGGACCCGGGGGTGGGGGGTTCTGGTGTGTGGAGAATACCAACCCTCCCCTCCTCCTCCCTGCCCGCCCCGCTCTCCACCCTCTCCCCCCAGGTGCCTGCCCGCCTTCTAGAGATGGATCCATCCTCCTGATCCTTCTCCCCTGCTCCCCCCCTCCCCCCCAGCGTGCTCATGAAAGTCCTTTTCTCTCCTGCTCTGCTCCTGGGGAGCTAGTCAGAAAAAAAAACGAGAGCCAGTGAGACCTCTAGCGGCCGGGGGGACACCAGGCGGCCAGGACCCGCTCCTGCTGGCGTCCTGGGCTGCTGCTGAGTGTGGTTTAAATCTGACCACTTTAGGGCGGGTGCCTGGCCTCCACATCTGCTCCAACCTCAAACCCGAGCCAAAAATGACAGGCAGATGCTCCACCCAAGCCACACCTGCATGGAGGAGGTGGGAGACTGGACACAGCTTCCTGGCCTAAGGGGCCTGGTCAAGGAAGGCGCAGAAGGCCGCAGAGAGTTCTCACGGCTCCACTGACTCCACCTCGGCCAGCCTGAAAGGCTCCTTTAGCTGGTTTAGGCAGCATTCAGTCTTTACAAAAACAGCCTTGAGATGTCAGTCCTCCTTTCAAGACCACCAGGAGGTGTGTGGAATCCAGTTCAACACAAACCCAAATTTCTGTGCATCATTTCTGGACACCAGGAACTGATGTCTCATGTGAGGTTCAACTCTTGTGCAGGGAGGTTGTTATTCACCTAAGGTCACTCAGTTAGTGGTGGGTCTGCAGCTGGAGTAGGGGCTCCCACACACCCTATGGGAGGCGTTCCCCCACATCATAGCTTACCTCTGAATAATACCACTTAAACCCTGAAAAGCTTTGCCCTAGCTTAGGCTGCATTCTTGTTGCACCTGGCTCTTTTGTAAACCCTGGAATTGTCTGCAGACAAAGAGGAGAGCCCAGGGCTGGAGCTAAGAAACCACAGTGCAGGAGACTTGAACAACGTGTGCCTGGTATCTGTAACTCTCATATTAGTGCTGAGGACAGGCAGGTCTCAACAGCCCAGGGGCTGGGATGGGACAAGGGTGAACCCAGAGGGAAGACTCCGTTGCCTGGAGAGAGTGGAGCTGAAAGTGCGATCCAGTATCAGAAGTGGCTCCCGCTTGGAGGACAATGAAAGATCACTGACTTTCGGGGGGCCTATGGCCCCCCGAAAGTCTATTTTCCAATGTGTGAGACAGGCCCTGACGGAGTGGATTCTTCATTCTCTCTGATCTTATTCCTAAAAGGTGTTCTGGAGTGACAGAGGCCTTTCAGAACCCAGCTCCCACTCTACTCTCTAATCCAGGGGAGGAACCATACCTATTTGGAGTGGTGCAGTAGTTGAAGGTGGGCTTCCCAGGTGGCGATAGTGGTAAAGAACCCACCTGCCAATGCAGCAGATGTAAGAGATGCGGGTTTGATCCCTAGGTGGGGAAGAGTCCCTGGAGTAGGACATGGCAACCCACTCCAGTATTCTTGCCTGGAGAATCCTTTGGACAGAGGAACCTGGCTGGCTACAGTCTAAGGGGTCACAAGAGTCGGACACGACTGAAGCGACTTAGCACGTGTGCGTGTGCACACACACACACACACAGTGCTGCTGCTGCTGCTAAATCGCTTCAGTCGTGTCCGACTCTGTGGACCCCACAGACGGCAGCCCACCAGGCTCCGCCGTCCCTGGGATTCTCCAGGCAAAAACACTGGAGTGGGTTGCCATTTCCTTCTCCAATGCATGAGAGTGAAAAGTGAAAGTGAAGTCGCTCAGTCGTGTCCGACTCTTAGTGACCCTGTGGATTGCAGCCTGCCAGGCTCCTCCGTCCATGGGATTTTCCAGGCAAAAGAGTACTGGAGTGGGGTGCCATTGCCTTCTCCATACACACACAGTAGTTGAAGGCAAATTCTAGCCAGGGTCCCATTCCTGGGGGTTGACACCACGGCAGTAGGGAGCCTTGGCTGGTTCTGGAGGGAGGGCAGCAGAGAGCCAGGAGCGTCCCCTGGGGTTTCAGGCAGGGACTGACTCCGACTCTGCGTTGCAGGCAGGACAAGCTGAAGATCCACATGAGGAAGCACACGGGGGAGCGGCCCTATCTGTGCATCCACTGCAACGCCAAGTTCGTGCATAACTACGACCTCAAGAACCACATGCGCATCCACACGGGCGTGAGGCCCTACCAGTGCGAGTTCTGCTACAAGAGCTTCACGCGCTCCGACCACCTGCACCGCCACATCAAGCGCCAGAGCTGCCGCATGGCCCGGCCCCGGCGTGGCCGCAAGCCCGCGGCCTGGAGGGCCGCCAGCCTGCTCTTCGGGCCCGGCGGTCCGGCCCCGGAGAAAGCGGCCTTCGTGATGCCCCCCGCGCTGGGCGACGTGGGCGGCCACCTGGGCGGAGCCGCCATGTGCCTCCCGGGCCCCAGCCCCACCAAGCACTTCCTGGCCGCGCCCAAGGGCGCGCTGAGCCTGCAGGAGCTGGAGCGGCAGTTCGAGGAGACGCAGATGAAGCTGTTCGGGCGCGCCCAGCTCGAGGCCGAGCGGAACGCGGGGGGCCTCCTGGCCTTCGCGCTGGCCGAGAACGTGGCCGCCGCGCGGCCCTACTTCCCGCTGCCCGACCCCTGGGCCGCGGGCCTGGCCGGCCTCCCTGGGCTTGCCGGCCTCAACCACGTGGCCTCTATGTCTGAGGCCAACAACTAGGCTGGTCCTCGTCCACCCCGCTCCTGCTTTCCCGTCCCCTCCCAGGCCCACCTGCCCCATCGATGGGTCTGAACTTTTTATTTCAAAAGGAAGAAAAAATATCAGCAGCAGTGGTATTTTCCGGGCCTCCTGAGGCAGTGGCCTCCCCTTTGCTGGTGTCTGAGATGGGCATCTCCTCCCAAAAGGCCTGGCCTCTCCCTGGCTGCCTCTCCCCACCCTCAAAGAGAAACTCACAGGGGCCCATATCACAGCGGGGGCCCCAGGCCATGTGTCCCAAAGTACCTTGGCGCTGTGCAGAAGCGCCTAGAAGGAGGGAGGTGGCTCGGCCAGAGGCAGACCGGATGGAGCAGGGAGGAGGCTAGGGTCCTGAGACCCGCGCCCCGTGAGCCCCTCGGCTCTGTGGTGGAGTCCCTGCTAACTGTTCCAGTGGGTTCATTCTCCCCGTCTGGAGTCAGGAGGGAGGCTCCTAGAATCCAGGCCCATTTTTCCCTCCCTGTCCTGTGACCTTGGACCTCTTCACCCTCTGTACCCCAGTTTCTCCCTGCTGTGAAAGAGGGCTGGTGATTTCATTTCCCTCTCCCACCCACCCACATGCTCATATCCGCCCATCCCTCCAAAGAGAAGCCTTGAGAGAGCAGGAGCTTTGCACTCCTAATGTCCCTGGTGACACTATTTTACTGGACTTAGTTTTATCACATCCATCTTTACGTTAGCACAGGTGAGAAATGTGGCCATGCTAGACAGGGTGACAGAGGAAGAGGGCTTGGGTGAGGCTTGTCCACAGCCCCCAAGCAGCTTTGGGTAACTCCAAATCCTACCTCCCCTAGGGGCACATCCAGAGACGACCACCTGGCATGGTCCCCACCTCCACATACCCCCGGCAATGCCATAAGGAGTTTTTCAGGACTCCTGAGGCCAACACAGAAGGACAGGGGCCACCTCTAAACACCTGGCTGTTGCCTCCCTCCATCTGACTCCCAGAAACAAAGCACCCGGTAACCCAAGTGTATGTTCACTTTTCGGTTGTGGGCTTCTTGGGGCTTTGGCATTGCTGTGTTTGAACACCCACAGCCCCTCCCTGGCCCCCCGGGGAGGAAGCCGGGTGTGCTGTGTGGGGAATCAGAGCCTTGGCTCCAGGACGGGCGTGGAGGGCTCTGTGAACGAGGGCTGTCCACCCCCTCTCCCGGGCTCTCCGGGGGGCAGCCGTCCTGAGAAGGAAGACAGCTGGGGCCTTCCTGATCTCTCCGCTTTCCTGCCCTTCCCTCCCTTTTCTTGCTGAGTTTGCTTTTGTTTCTCAGTAGCCCAGAAGGGAGGCGAGTTCATCTGGGTGGGTGGGTGAGGGCTGCTGTCCCCAACCCTGGAGCTGTGGACACAGAGACTTCGGCTCTTCCTATCGCCTTGGCTTCTTCCTGAGCAAACACACACAAAAAAACAAAAAGGCCAGAGAAGACCACAGACTCTGTCACTCTCTCAGCTCCCCCACTCCCTGAAAGAATCCCCTGCCTCCACACACCACCTCTGGCCCTTTCAGCCAGAGGGAACTGTTGCTGACACCCTGTGGTCCTCGGATGTCATCTGCTGGGCAGCGCCTCTCAGATTCCTGTCTCCATTTCCACCCTTCACTTCTGGGACCCACCAGCCAACATGCCCACGTCCCCCCTCCTCAGTCAAGGGAGTGGGGCTGACCCAAACTTCAAGAGAAAACAAGGGAAGATGAACAAATTAGAATCCAGTGGTGTTGGGGCTTTTGTTTTTATTTTGTAAAGGTAATGACTTCTTATAAACTCAATTTTTCAGATGACTGGTTAGTTCTTTTTGTTTTCTCTTGGTTGCAATTTGGAGTTGTACATTGTAAAATATCCAAAGATGTCGAGTACTGTATGATCAAGAACTTGAAGCAAATGGGTCGTAGGGATGTTTGTGTTTTGTTTCCTTTTTTTTTTTTTCTTTTGGATGTTCCGATTTCCCTGTCTGTCTGTGGGAGAACTTTGGAAGTTTTTCTATTTATAACTTTTTTTATGTGATTGCTTTATGTAAAATGACACTCAACAAGGTTTGCCTTAGTGATTCAAGGGACAATCTTCCATAACTTTGGTCGCACGCCGCATCCCGTCAAGAAAAAGTCTCAGCTAATTTTCTGGCCTATTTATTAAACAGTATTAACTGACTGGATGAAATGATATTGAGAGTTGCACTTCTGTGAGAGGAGATAGCCACAAGACAATGTGCAGACATTTGAGGCTTTAGAGTTTGACAATTGGGTGTCACAAACTTATAAAAATGTTGAAGACACCTTTATAAAAAAAAATTACAAATCTTTGACCCTTATTTAATAACGTGAGGGACAGCATTTTAAGTAAAAGAAAGCCACAGCTACTCAACTCGCTGGTTCCATTGATTCCCCTTTGCAATGTCTTGCAGGTGTTGGGGTGGGGGCTTTGAATGGGGTCAACTCTACTCAGAACCCAGAACTCAGGTCGTCAGTGGTCCGCTGCAGTTTTGATTCGTGAGGCTCTGCTGAATCATAAGCTTGTGGGTATCTGTGACTCCGAGTGTGAGGTATGTGTATGTGTGTGTTCACATGTGCAGATATAGCCTTTGGTGTGTGAGCAAGGGAGAGTGAAAGGGGTGCTAACCATTTTAACATGACAGTCCTACCAGTCACCTAGCTTGGCATCCAGAGCAACCTGTGGCTGGCCTTGCTACCATCTCAGCCTTTTCCTTTTATTCCCTGGCACTGGCATTGGACTTCTTCTTTATTCACCTGATTGTCTCTCCCAAACAGGGAACATTAGACCCTGAAGAAGGTAAGGGAATATAAGGGGTCAACTCTACTCAGAACCCAGAGCACCGACTCTTGGAGTAAAATTGATCTTGAACTGCATTTTCTATGTAACCAAGAGTTAACCTAGAGTTGCTTTTCTGTCTTCAGATCCCCTTTCCTGCCGTGGTAAGCACTCTTATAAACCCAATGCAGCATTTCTCAGTACAGGGAAAACAATGGATCTGGGTTTCAGATCCAGACTCCAAGACATGTGTCCTCAGGCTGATCACTTTCCTACCTTGGTCCTCACTTGCCTCATTTGAATAGGAAAGAAGATTGAGTTTCTCCAAGAAACTCAGGAATTTAGAGCTTCTCCAAGTTTTTTACCCAAATTAAACACCCCTCAGCCAAGGGGGCCTGCCAGTTGGGAGATTGCGAACTGAATTTTAAAGAAGTAGCCTGAAGCAACCTTCCCCATAGTACAAAACTCCTCTGAAGTCTCCTGTTGTGGCTTTGAAATTCACGCTTTTGCATTCTGTTACACAAGGGACTTCCCTCCTGGCTCAGTTGGTAAAGAATCCACCTACAATGCAGGAGATTCAGGTTCGATCCATGGGTCGGGAAGATCCTCTGGAGAAGGAAATGGCAACCCAGTCCAGTATTCTTGCCTGGAAAATCGCATGGGCAGAGGAGCCTGGTGGGCTACAGTCCATGGGGTCGCAGAGTCGAATAGGACTAATGCAACTAAACCACAATACAATAGGTATGCGTTTGTCTTAATTTTAAAATATCGTCTTGAACATCATGACTTGCCTTTCCTCCAGGATCTTCCAGTAAAGTCAATGCCCCTTGGCTGCCTTGCACCTTGGAGAGGCCCAAGACTGAGGACTTGAGGATAAACCTGGCCCCGTGCGAGGACTAGGAGGGCAGCTGCTTGTCAGGATCTGGCTCAGCTCGTGTATTCTAGCATCACTGGGTCCCCTTTCTGGGGATCGGTGTCCACTGAGAGCCAGAGGTGAACAGGGGGAAAGGATAGGGAAGTGGGCCCACTGGACCCTGACTTCTGGGGGCTCCTGAGCTCACGTGAGTGAAGTGGCCTCTGGTCCTGGCCAGTTAGGTGTCTCACAGAGCCACGTAGGACAAGGCAGGCTCCCTGATGTGCTCAGAGAGTGGGGGCACGGACAGCAAAGGGAACTTCAGTAGCGAGGGAGGGCCGGGGAGGAGGCTGAGACCACTGAAGACAGGTCAGAGAAGCAGGTGCGTCTGAACCTGGAGAAGGTTTAAGAGACGTTAGAACAGGCCTTGGCCCTTCTAAAGTTCTGTTAGGTAGAGACAGGATCATGCGAAATGTTTGGCCAAATCAAACCAATAGGGGAGAGATTCCAGGAGACAGCCAGGTGCCCAAGCAAAGGAAGACGACTTCCTACCACATGGAATTGTCGTAAAGAGGAATGAGGTCCCGTGTGAGGGGGTGAGCTCTTGGTCACTGGAAGGGTTTAACCTCACCTTCCAAGAAGCAGAGATTTCTATGTGGAAGGAGGGCTTTCTTGATGGCCCGTCCCTTGGGTCACGCCATCTGACTTATGAAAAGGAGAATATCTATCCTCATGCAAGAAGGTGGTACCAGGAACAGGTGAAGAAGATAAGTTGGGACACCTTCACAAAACTCAGTGTGGGGGCTTATGGCTGCCTGCTAGCCAACCCCCACCCCCCTTAACCTACAGCAGCTTGGGGCCGGAGAAACAGGACTCAGTGTAGAAAAGGCCCTGGTTGATTGTGAAATCCCTGAGGTGCGACAGGAGAACAGTAATGAAGCAGCAGGAAGACTGTCTCCTGTCTCAGGCCTTCACCGAGCCCAGGGCCCGCCCTTCCCGAGGGGAGCAGAGGTCCCCGCCACGCCCGGCACACCTCTGCGCAGACCCCGCTTCCTCCTCTCCTGGGACCTCACCCCGGCACTTCCTGCCTGTGCCCTTTCCAGAAACGGGGACAACTGTGTTTCCCCTTGCACTTTCCCCTCTGAGAGCCGGCGGAGGGAGGGCTTCTGAAGGGAAAGTGAGAGAGGGACAGGGGGCCTCCTCTGTCAACCCCCTCCATCGGAAGAGGCTGTCCGTCAGCCCGCAGAGGTCCCGCAGGGAGCGCGACCCGCACGCAGAGGCTACGCCCCACCCCCGGGACCTGGGACAGCTTCTAGAACCAAGGATGTGTGTGTCCGAGGCCCCACCTCCCCGTCCCGCCGGGACCCTCCCTCTGTCCAAACCCTGAGCGGAGGAGCCACGCAGCAAACGCGACTCACAGGCTCCCTCTTCCGGCCCCTGCAGGCCCTGCTCCCGATCAGGATGGAAAGAACGGCCCCAGCAAAACAGGTCAGTCCGGCTGATCCCCAGGGATGGGCTGGAAATCAGACCAGTGGGCAGATAAACAGTCTGCCCCAGCCTCACAGCCGCCCCCCTCGCCTCCCCTCCCTGCTTTGGGCACCGGAGGGGAAGGGACGGGGGACGGGAGGCAAACAACAGCTTCTTTCCTCCCTTCAGGTTTGAAGCACTGAGGATGGAGTCAAATACGCATTTCCAGCAATTGATAGGGAGAGAATTCCCTGGG